TTCATCTGTAACTTTAAATTAATGCATTGTAAATGAAGTTGGAACAATAGCTTTAGAGCTCCGATCTATCTTTCCAACGAGATATAATACGCTCCAAACGGATAAACACACAGCAAGATATGAGTGTCACAAATAGTTAGCCTTATCTCTATTATTTAGCGTTTTCAGCGAAAATAGAGCACTTTTAGCGTAAATACAGTGTATTTTAGTAATTTGGAAATCATCCCTTGATATTTTGAATCCAGCGCCTGAAGACAAGTTTGAGAACTCGGTAAGATGTTTCCAACGAGATATTAAACGCTTTCAACGGCACAAAATAGAGCAAGATATGATCACATCAAATTCTACACGAGTTCGGAGTGAACTCAGAAACATTTGTGAACATATGCTTCATCTGTAACATTTAATTAATGCATTGTAAATGAAGTTGGAACAATAGCTTTAGAGCTCCGATCTATCTTTTCAACGATATATAATACGATCCAAACGGATAAACACACAGCAAGATATGAGTGTCACAAATACTTAGCCTTATCTCTATGATTTAGCGGTTTCAGCGAAAATAGAGCACATTTAGCGTAAATACAGTGTATTTAAGTAATTAGGCAATCATCCCTTGATATTTTGAAACCGGAGCCTTAAGCAAATTTTAGAACTCGTAAAGATATTTCCAACGAGATATTAAACGCTTTCAACGGCACAAAATAGAGCAAGATATGATCGCATCAAATTCTACACGAGTTCGGAGTGAAATCAGAAACATTTGTGAATATATGGTTAATCCGTAACTTTTAATTAATGCATTGTAAATGAAGTTGGAACAATATCTTTAGGCTCCGATCTATCTTTCCAAAGAGATATAATACGCTCCAAACGGATAAACACACAGCGAGATATGAGTGTCACCAATACTTAGCCTTATCTCTATGATTTATCGTTTTCAGCGAAAATAGAGCACTTTTAGCGTAAATACAGTGTATTTTAGTAATTAGGCAATCATCCCTTGATATTTTGAAACCAGCGCCTGAAGACATGTGTTAGAACTCGGTAAGATCTTTCTAACGAGGTATTAAACGCTTTCAACGGCACAAAATAGAGCAAGATATGATCGCATCAAGCTCTACAGGAGTTCGGAGTGAAATCAGAAACATATGTGAATATATGGTTAATCTGTAACTTTTAATTAATGCATTGTAAATGAAGTTGGAACAATAGCTTTAGAGCTCCGATCTATCTTTCCAACGAGATATAATACGCTCCAAACGTATAAACACACAGCAAGATATGAGTGTCACAAATACTTAGCCTTATCTCTATGATTTATCGTTTTCAGCGAAAATAGAGCACTTTTTGCGTAAATACAGTGTATTTTAGTAATTAGTCAATCATCCATTTATATTTTGAAACCAGCGCCTGAAGAAAAGTTTTAAAACTCGGTAAGATCTTTCCAACGAGGTATTAAACGCTTTCAACGGCACAAAATAGAGCAAGATATGATCGCATCAAATTCTACACGAGCTCGGAGTGAAATCAGAAACATTTGTGAATATATGGTTAATCTGTAACTTTTAATTAATGCATTGTAAATGAAGTTCGAACAATAGCTTTAGAGCTCCGATCTATCTTTCCAACGAGATATAATACGCTCCAAACGGATAAACACACAGCAAGATATGAGTGTCACAAATACTTAGCCTTATCTCTATGATTTAGCGTTTTCAGCTAAAATAGATCACTTTTAGCGTAAATACAGTATATTTTAGTAATTAGGCAATCATCCCTTGATATGTTGAAACCAGCGCCTGAAGACAAGTTTTAGAACTCGGTAAGATGTTTACAAAGAGATATTAAACGCTTTCAACGGCACAAAATAGAGCAACATATGATCGCATCAAATTCTACACGAGTTCGGAGTGAACTCAGAAACATTTGTGAATATATGTTTCATCTGTAACTTTTAATTAATGAATTGTAAATAAAGTTGGAACAATTGCTTTAGAGATCCGATCTATCTTTCCAACGAGATATAATACGCTCCAAACGGATAAACACACAGCAAGATATGAGTGTCACAAATAATTAGCCTTATCTCTATGATTTAGCGTTTTCAGCGAAAATAGAGCACATTTAGCGTATATACCGTGTATTTTAGTAATTTAGCAATCATCACTTGATATTTTGAAACCAGCGCCTGAAGACAAGTTTTAGAACTCGGTAAGATGTTTCCAACGAAATATAAAACGCTTTCAACGGCACAAAATAGAGCAAGATATGATCGCATCAAATTCTACACGACTTCGGAGTGAAATCAGAAACATTTGTGAATATATGGTTAATCTGTAACTTTTAATTAATGCATTGTAAATGAAGTTGGAACAATAGCTTTATACCTCCGATCTATCTTTCCAACGAGATATAATACGCTTCAAACGGATAAACACACAGCAAGATATGAGTGTTATAAATACTTAGCCTTATCCCTATGATTTAGCGTTTTCAGCGAAAATAGAGCACTTTTAGCGTAAATACTGTTTATTTTAGTAATTAGGCAATCATCCATTGATATTTTGAGACCAGCGCCTGAATACATGTTTTAGAACTCGATAATATCTTTCCAACGAGATATTAAACGCTTTCAGCGGCACAACATAGAGCAAGATATGATCGCATCAAATTCTACACCAGTTCGGAGTGAAATCAGAAACATTCGTCAATATATGGTTAATCTGTAACTTTTATTTAATACATTGTAAATTAGGTTGGAACAATAGCTTTAGAGCTCCGATCTATCTTTCCAACGAGATATAATACGCTCCAAACGAATAAACACACAGCAAGATATGAGTGTCACCGATACTTAGCCTTATGTCTATGCACTACAAGAAAAAGACCTATTAGCGAAGGGAATATTGGTCGCAAAAACTAAAAAAACAGTCACTAATACTTATTTGCGACCGGAAAATCTGGTCGCGCGACAGTCCCTATAGGCCTCGCCGCAAAAGATCTTTTGCGACCAGAAAATGCGGTCGGTCACTAAAACTTTTTGTGACCAATTAGAATCCCGTCGCTAATGATATTATTTTAGACCACATATTATGAGTAATTGCAACCACTTTCCCTTCGCTAATAATTTTTTTAGAAAAATTAATCAATAATTGTGACCACACCATTTGAGTATTTGCAACCATTACCCCATCCCCATTTGCAAACATTAATAATTAATTGATGAAAACACAATATAATATATTAATTAATGTTTTGCAAAGATCCAAATCATACATAACCACTCGCATTTCAATTCAAAACTAATAAATAAGCAATTAAGTAGTCAATAATCAAATATTCAGCATATCCATTGCCTATACAAAACGTATGCAATCTTTAAACAATGAAACATCAATCTTCGGATCTTGATTTTAGTCTTTGCTTCATCGCCTTATAGCATTGCTTTAATCTCGTGTCACCTCGCCACAGTTCAGCACTATTATCTATCAACAGCCCAATATGATGATTGATTCATGTTTTCCCAAGATGGCCTCCCATAACAGTATACACCTTCTATGTCTGTAAAATGAAGAAACTTGTACGTAAAATTAAGCACATATATGCACTAACCAATACCATTATAGATCCTATGTGACACTGGGAATCATAACTCTATATTGAAGATAGATAATTGCTTCAGTAATGCATCATACTCATGTTTCACTTCTAAAAAACAATTGATGTATAAATACAGATTGGATGTATATGTGTTTCAGATCATATGGACTCCAAAAAAGTGCAATAACAAAAACACATTTATTGAGAGTGAAAATGCATGAACATGTCAAAATTATCTACGTATGATTTATAATCCACTATTTTGGTCCGTTCACTATGGAAGATGGAAACGAATGAAATCTTAAACAATTAACAAATTTAGGAAACTAATTTCATTACACTGTAGTGTATAGTTTATACCTCTATAGTTCGGATATAAAGAAATGTTATAAGGTTAAATAAGCAAAGTAAGAGAACAGGCTCAACTATCAATTTAGGCATTCTTTCCTTTAGCTAAAAAACCATTTGAAATCATAAATGTATCAGTATCATCAGATGTAACACTCCATTTTAATAAACCTGATTAAGAGAGTAGCATTTAGAGTGAGCTGACTTACGACTCCGAAAAAGAGACCAGGAGCGATGCCTTTGTGGAAGAAATCATAGAAGAGGGTGGTGGTGGCCATGACAACATGCATTGTAATGGTGAATACATCAGTCAGCTTGAATGCTCCTTCTCTTGGTTTATGGTGAGACTATACAAATATAAACCAAACATGACTCTAGAAAGTGAAGCAAATTCGGGAAATCTGTGTCAACATATTCAGTAAAAACATGGATACAGGTGAAGTGAGCTACAAAACAAGGTGAAGTGAGCTACCAAAAAAGGTGAAGTGAGCTGCAAAAAAAAGGTGAAGTGAGCTGCAAAAAAAAGGTGAAGTGAGCTTAAAAAAAGGTGAGATGAGCTGCATATAAAACTCCTTATAAGAGAAACATTACATATATAATTATTACCTTAAACCAATAGGATGTGTTAAATTTCAGTTTGGTAGAAGTTTCTTCATCTCTTTAGATTCAACCTCCACAACCGAACAATTCAGATTCTAAAATTGGGTCTCCACATACTAAAGGTATGATCATTTTCACTGGAAAATAAACAAAGTGTATCAAGGAAAGAAACTTTGCCACACCTAAATTCGTAAGGAACCAATTAAACTCACCAAAATAATACTAATTATTATTTTTTGGATAGTATATACTGTGGATCTTAAAAAACGTACCTCAAATGCATAATTAAGAGTTATCTTAACCTATTGGCCTAAGATAAAAACTGTATATGCCACATGCTGCTATATGTTCGAATATACTGGTTTTTCTTCTCAAATTCTGCCCTATTCGCTAATCTCATAACAAGCTTTGGTTTTTGTTCTAATACATTTTAAATCATTTATATGGATGTTGTTGTTGTATATGGATTTCTCCTGCTGGCTGCTTCCATTATCATTGATGAACATTTCATTTTAAGCAACTGACAGGTGATTGGTGGTCTGAAAAATAATCTTGAGAATAAAAAATGTAAAAATATATATTGCCTAATGTGGCATAGATTCGGTCTCAAAATAAAGCTTCCAGAATCAACTACTCTCACATATATAGTCAAACACTAGTATGATCAATTAATCAATGGTTCACACTGTTATGAAATTTCACACTAATCCGAAAAAGTAAAATCTGAAAATTAATACTCCATAATAATCAACAATGATCAATAATCAATTAGATTAACAATAAAATAAATTGGGAACACCATTATGAAAGCCTGGTGAACAATAATGGGTTAATGATTAATCAAACAGGAAAGAATACCATATTGAACAGATGAAACTGGGAAACCGCTGCAACTACTGGATGATTGAGTTGAAATACTAAGAACTGAAACCGAAGAGGGGCGAGACCGTGAGAGTGAAGAGAAGAGAGCTGCGCCGGCCGCCGTGAAACCGCGAGAGTGAAGAGAACAGAGCTGTGCCGGCCGCCGTGAAACCGCGAGAGTGAAGAGAAGAGAGCTGCGCCAGCCGCTCTGAGACCGCGAGAGTGAAGAGAACAAAGATTCTTTAGTTTGAGTGCAGATGTAGACTCTTCGCCGGCTTGGTAGCTTCCCAAATCGCTGCGTTTCTCTCCGATGATTTGAAGGCAGCGGAAAGGGTTTTCTTCCATGGCAAATGAAAGGTTATGTGCGGCTCTAGGGTTAAGTTACATATTTTTCGGTAAAAGGCGAAAACAAAAAAATGAAAAATATACTCCGTGAGTTGGGCGGCAATTTTTTTAGATTGGCGCTACTCACAAAAACTCAAATTTTAGCGACGGGAAGTTAAAAAGTTTTGCGAAAGGACATTATAATGGTCCCAGAAAAGTAATCATTTGCGACCGTATAAAATTTGGTCCTTATTAGTGTACATGTTGCGACTGTATTTGGTGTCTGTCGCAAATTGTTGGTCGCAAAAGGGCACTTTTCTTGTAGTGATGATTTATTTGTGAATATATGATTAATCTTTAACTTTTAATTAATGCATTGTAAATGAAGTTGGAACAATAGCGTTAGAGCTCCGATCTATATTTACAATGAGATAAAATACGCTCCAAACGGATAAACACACAGCAAGATATGAGTGTCACAAATAATTAGCCTTATCTCTATTATTTAGCGTTTTCAGCGAAAATAGAGCACATTTAGCGTAAATACAGTGTATTTAAGTAATTAGGCAATCATCCCTTGATATTTTGAAACCGGAGCCTGAAGCAAATTTTAGAACTCGTAAAGATCTTTCCAACGAGATATCAAACGCTTTCAACGGCACAAAATAGAGCAAGATATGATCGCATCAAATTCAACACGAGTTCGGAGTGAAATCAGAAACATTTGTGAATATATGGTTAATCCGTAACTTTTAATTAATGCATTGTAAATGATGTTGGAACAATATCATTAGGGCTCAGATCTATCTTTCCAAAGAGATATAATACGCTCCAAACGGATAAACACACAGCGAGATATGAGTTTCACAAATACTTAGCCTTATTTCTATGATTTATCGTTTTCAACGAAAATAGAGCACGTTAAGCGTAAATACAGTGTATTTTAGTAATTAGGCAATCATCCCTTGATATTTTGAAACCAGCGCCTGAAGGCATGTGTTAGAACTCGGTAAGATCTTTCTAACGAGGTATTAAACGCTTTCAACGGCACAAAATAGAGCAAGATATGATCGCATCAAGCTCTACAGGAGTTCGGAGTGAAATCAGAAACATATGTGAATATATGGTTAATCTGTAACTTTTAATTAATGCATTGTAAATGAAGTTGGAACAATAGCTTTAGAGCTCCGATCTATCTTTCCAACGAGATATAATACGCTCCAAACGTATAAACACACAGCAAGATATGAGTGTCACAAATACTTAGCCTTATCTCTATGATTTATCGTTTTCAGCGAAAATATAGCACTTTTTGCGTAAATACAGTGTATTTTAGTAATTAGTCAATCATCCCTTGATATTTTGAAACCAGCGCCTGAAGAAAAGTTTTAAAACTCGGTAAGATCTTTCCAACGAGGTATTAAACGCTTTCAACGGCACAAAATAGAGCAAGATATGATAGCATCAAATTCTACACGAGCTCGGAGTGAAATCAGAAACATTTGTGAATATATGGTTAATCTGTAACTTTTAATTAATGCATTGTAAATGAAGTTGGAACAATAGCTTTAGAGCTCCGATCTATCTTTCCAACGAGATATAATACGCTCCAAACGGATAAACACACAGCAAGATATGAGTATCACAAATACTTAGCCTTATCTCTATGATTTAGCGTTTTCAGCTAAAATAGATCACTTTTAGCGTAAATACAGTATATTTTAGTAATTAGGCAATCATCCCTTGATATGTTGAAACCAGCGCCTGAAGACAAGTTTTAGAACTCGGTAAGATGTTTCCAACGAGATATTAAACGCTTTCAACGGCACAAAATAGAGCAAGATATGATCGCATCAAATTCTACACGAGTTCGGAGTGAACTCAGAAACATTTGTGAATATATGTTTCATCTGTAACTTTTAATTAATGAATTGTAAATAAAGTTGGAACAATTGCTTTAGAGATCCGATCTATCTTTCCAACGAGATATAATACGCTCCAAACGGATAAACACACAGCAAGATATGAGTGTCACAAATAATTAGCCTTATCTCTATGATTTAGCGTTTTCAGCGAAAATAGAGCACATTTAGTGTAAATACAGTGTATTTTAGTAATTTAGCAATCATCACTTGATATTTTGAAACCAGCGCCTGAAGACAAGTTTTATAACTCGGTAAGATGTTTTAGAACTTGGTAAGATGTAAGATATCGGTTTTAGTGAGAGTTGAGAGCCTCTCTCTCAAGGAGTAACCAACGGTTACTTTCTTCTCTTTCACGCCGGTTTCCACCACCTTCTCTGCCGTTCACCACCGCCAAACACCTTCAACCGGAGCTTGTATATCCTCTGTATTACCTGTTCCATCCTTTGGGCGTGTAATATTTGGGATATCCCAGCTCCATTCGCCTCAAAAACTCTCCAAAAACTGCGCACCAACACTATTCACACCGGGAAAGAAAATTGCATAACTTTCAAACCTCTCGGTGGATTTTCAAGATTTTTATGGGGTGATATTCGCTACTCTTGGGGCTCCTTAATCTCAAGTTTCAGCTCATTCCATCAAGGCCGTACAACACTTCCGAAGGTTAGCTCAAACTTCACTATTCACAGTTGACTTTTGCAAAAACGTAGATTGGTGCGAATCCAAGGCTTGGGGGGAGTTTCCGAGCTACGTTTGGAGGTCGCCTCTCCTAGGCGCACCTCTACGTACAATCCCCTTGTCAATCCGAGCTCTTATGCAAGTTTTGGCTACTATTCATCATCTTCTCTTATGGGGAAGGCTGGTCCGAAGAATAGCAAGCTCAAGGAAATACCAAAAGCTACAAAATCTTCTTTAAGGCTCAAAAATCTTGCCTTAATGAAGGTTGGGGAGACTAGTGTTGAACTTCCACTCGATGATAAGAATGATGATGCTATGAGCCAAGAGGATGGGGAATTTGTGCCTACGGCTTCTTGTGAATCCTCTTCCCATGAAGAGGATGTTAGCTTGGTAAGTGAGCACTTGGTACAAAATGTGGAAGATGAAATCTCAAGTGACAATGTCATTGCCGAAGAGGAGGTTTTGGGTGGAAATGCAATTGAGGGGGGGGGGGGGGGGCTGAGCCTCCTATGGATGTATCCTCACACAAAGATGACCACTTGGATGAACCTATAATTGAAACCGAGGATGAAGTTGACCCGTCATCAAAGGTGGAAGCTCCTCTTGCCGGGACATCTATGGATGTGGGGGAACCTACATCAAAGGAAAGTATGGAGCAAGGTTGTGGGAAGGTTAAGCTGTGGGCTTCTCCATGGACTTCACTCTTCAAAGATAATAGGGAGCCCAACAAAGGTATGAAATTGAAATACATAGAACCCGTGGGGGACTATGTTGATTTATCCCAAAGAGTTATGTCATCTATTGTTGATCTTTGGGGATTTTATTTGGTGGGGTACTTTGCTGGTAGGTTCCCCGGGATTAAGCCCATACAAGATATGGTTGCTAAATGGGGGGTCCAATGCCATGTTAGGCAACATGATAGAGGATGGGTTATTTTCAAGTTCAAGAGTGATGAAGCTAGAACCAAAGTCTTGATGGAAGGGCCCTATTCTTTATTTGGAAAGTCATAGAGATAAGGCTAAGTATGTGTGACACTCATATCTTGCTGTGTGTTGATCCATTTGGAGCGTATTATATCTCGTTGGAAAGATAGATCGGAGCTCTAAAGCTATTGTTCCAACTTAATTTACAATGCATTAATTAAAAGTTACAGACTAACCATATATTCACAAATGTTTCTGATTTCACTCCGAACTCGTGTAGAATATGATGCGATCATATCTTGCTCTATTTTGTGCCGTTGAAAGCGTTTAATATCTCTTTGGAAAGCTCTTACCGATTTCTAAAACATGTCTTCAGGCGCTGGTTTCAAAATATCAAGGGATGATTGCCTAATTACTAAAATACACTGTATTTACGCTAAAAGTGCTCTATTTTCGCTTAAAACGCTAAATCATAGAGATAAGGCTAAGTATTTGTGACACTAATATCTTGGTGTGTGTTTATTCGTTTGGAGCGTATTATATCTCGTTGGAAAGATAGATCGGAGCTCTAAAGCTATTGTTCCAACTTCATTTACAATGCATTAATTAAAAGTTACAGATTAACCATATATTCACAAATGTTTCTGATTTCACTCCGAACTCGTGTAGAATTTGATGCGATCATATCTTGCTCTATTTTGTGCCGTTGAAAGCGGTTAATATCTCGTTGGAACGATCTTACCTAGTTCTAAAACTTGTCTTCTATCGCTGGTTTCAAAATATCAAGGGATGATTGCTTAATTACTAAAATACACTGAATTTACGCTAAAAGTGCTCTATTTTCGCTGAAAACGCTAAATCATAGAGATAAGGCTAAGTATTTGTGACACTCATATCTTGCTATGTGTTTATCCGTTTGGATCGTATTATATCTAGTTGGAAAGATAGATTGGACGCCCTAAAGCTATTTTTCCAACTTCATTTACAATGCATTAATTAAAAGTTACAGATTAACCATATATTCACAAATGTTTCTGATTTCACTCCGAACTCGTGTAGAATTTGATGCGATCATATTTTGCTCTATTTTGTGCCGCTGAAAGCGTTTAATATCTCGTTGGAAAGATCTTACCGAGTTCTAAAACTTGTCTTCAGTCGCCGGTTTCAAAATATCAAGAGATGATTGCCTAATTACTAAAATACACTTTATTTACGCTAAAAGTGCTCTATTTTCGCTGAAAACGCTAAATCATAGAGATAAGCCTATGTATTTGTGACACTCATATCTTGTTATGTGTTTATACGTTTGGAGCGTAATATATCTCGTTGGAAAGATAGATCAGAGCTCTAAAACTATTGTTCCAACTTCATTTACAATGGATTAATTAAAATTTATAGATTAACCATATATTCACAAATGTTTCTGATTTCACTCTGAACTCGTGTAGAATTTGATGCGGTCATATATTGCTCTATTTTGTGCCGTCGAAAGCGTTTAGTATCTCGTTGGAAAGATCTTACTGAGTTCTAAAACTTGTCGTCAGGCGCTGGTTTCAAAATATCAAGGGATAATTGCCTTAATATTATTATTATTATTATTATTATTATTATTATTATTATGATTATTATTATTATTATTATTATTATTATTGTTATTATTATTATTATCATTATTATTATCATTGTTATTATTATCATTGTTATTATTATCATTGTTATTATTATCATTGTTATTATTATCGTTATTATTATTATCATTATTATTATTATCATTAT